TAATAGCTAAAGTTTGAAAGCAGCCCAAATGCCCATCAACTGGAGACTGGATAAAGAAAATACGGGTTATTTTATAAAATGGAGTACTACTCAGCCATAAAAATTGAAAAATTAGAGACATTCATACCTAAATGGATGCACATTGAGGTGATACTCTTAAGTTAAATAAATAGGACATGGGCTGGTTATTTAGTTCAGTGGTTTCGCCGCCTGCTGTGCAAGCCCAAGAACCCGAGTTCGATTCCTGGTACCAAAAGAAAAAGAAAAAAAAAAGTTGAAGCAACATACAAACAATGAGTTTTACTTTGTGCTCGCTTCGGCAGCACATATACTAAATAAATAGGACACACGTTTAAATACTGAACAGTTTCTCTAGTGTGAGAAACTGAAAGTGTAAATAAGGACTAAATGGTATAATAGATAACGTGAAATAGGAAGAAAAGGGGCAAAGTGGAAGGGGAAGTGGGAGGGGAAGGGGAAAGGAAAGAAGGGAATGGAATTAATATGAGAAAATGAAAAAATATGGAAACAAAATCTATGTAAATAGGGAAGGGTGGAAGGGGATGAAGGGCATACAGGTAATGGGGAAAAAATAAGAACCAAGATACATCATGTACAGGTACAAGTACGCAATGGTAAATGTTAATGTATTGTATTCCTAAAATGTACCAATAAAAGAATTTTTTAAAATGTAAATAAGCACAATAAAGATGTTGAGAAGGCTGACAATAAGCAAAAAAAAAGGGGGCTATGGAATTAATATGAAAAAATGGAACCAAAGTCTTTGTAAATAGGGAGGGATGGAGGGGTTGAGGGGCGGGCAGGGGAATGGGGAAAAATGAGAACCAAGAAAGAGTACGTAAAAGTGCAAATTTCCAGTGATGAATGTCATTATATTGTATACCTAAAATGTACCAATAAAATTAACTTTTTTAAAAAAGGCGAAAACATTTAAGCTCAGAGAAGGCAAATGACCTATCCAAGGTCACTCCACCAAGAAGTAGAAGATTAAAAATTTGAAACCATGTCTGTCTGGCACTAAAATCCATGTTCTTGCTTATCTTCCCTTCCTGTCCTCTTTAGCTTCTTAAAAACATTTCCTCCAGTTCTTTATGCCTGACATGAGGGAAATGGGAGTGATTTTATGGTGGAGGGAATCTATATGCTTAGCCTCCATGTACCATGTGGTAGTCCACACAGGGCCCATACTTTTGTGGTTACTACAAAGTCTGAAGAGATCTCTAGCTTCATCAAGGCATGCCTGAAAACCAGATTTGCACTTACTAGTTGCTTCCAGAATGGACATGCTTTTGGATGCACAGAAAATTGTGATTCTCATGGGTGACTAAGGCATGGCATAGACAAACCCATGGGCCACTGTTCTCCCTAGGACTGATAGGGAAAGTGGAGTGTCTTAATCCTTTGTGTTCTTGTCATCCTTGTACACAGGCTGCTACCTCCCAGCTGTTGCATATCTTATGGTCTAAGTCTAAAATGACTCTGAAAGCCTCATATGTTTGAAAGGTGATTAAATCATGAGGCACTATTGATGACTTTCTGTTAGGAGGGGGGGTTTAGCTGGAGGTGGGTCATGTGGAGTGCATCCTGGAAAAGTGTATCTCCCTCCCTGGCTCTTTCCTTTACTCTGCTTCCTGGCCATAGTGTGAACAGCTTTCCTCCATCAGACCCTTCCACTATGCTCTTCTTGCCTTGAACCAGTCAACTATGGTTGGAAAATGTGAGCCAAATAAACCTACCCTCCTCTAATTTACGAGTGTTGAGTATTGTGTCTCAGTGACAAGATAATAACTAAAACATCGTCTTTAATAGTATCATTTTCTTCCATCTCCATTATGCTTTCCACAGAGTCATTAGTCCTCCAACAAACATTTATTGATACCTTACAAAAACAAGGCCAGATCTGACATCAGGAGCTCAGATTTAAATAAGGACAGATGTGTAAAACCTATAGCTTCGGTGCATGAGCTCGGTGTTCCAAGAAGATGGGGTTGACTAATATGCTGTAGGAGCACAGAGAGGCAAGAGTAACTCAGCTGCTGGAGGGAAAATTGAAGAAAGTGGTGATTGGCAATGCTTCATAATGGTGATAATATTTAAGTTGGATTTTGGAGAATGAGTAGGAGTTTTTTAAGTGAAAGAGGAGAGAAAGAACAACACCTGTAAGAGATGTATGTGCCTTCTGGAGCTCAATGTGTTACATAATTACTCAAGGTAACTGCAGAACAGAGTATGTGGAAGTAGAGTGTGGCCATGAGATGCAAAGCCATGAAAGGCCTTATACAACAGCCTGAGGAGTTGAGACTGTTTTGAGATCAATGAGGAACCACTGAAGGGTTTTGAATGACAGCATGGTAGTACTTTGCTTAATGGGATGGTATACACATTTTATATGGCTGCTGTCATCAATGATCACTAACTTGGTGGTTTAAAACAATAGCATTTATTGTCTCACAGTTTAGGAGGTGAGAAGTCCTAAACCAAGATATTAGCATGGTTGTTTCCTTCAGGAGGTGCTAAGAGGGAATCTGTTCCATACCTCTCTCCTAGCTTCTGGTGGTTCCAAGCAATTCTGGGTGTTTCTTGGCTTGGAGACATAACCTTTCCTTTTTCTGCTCTTCTCACTGTGCCCCCTCTTTTTCTTGTTTGGACACTAGTCATTGGATTGGGGTGCTACCATCATCAACTGTGACATCATCTAATTGCATCTGCAAAGACTCTAATTCCAAATGAGATCCCATTCTGAGATCTCAGGTAGATGTGAATTTTAGAGAGATTCTATTTAACCCACTACCACTTGTGAAGAGGCGAGAATGTCAGTGGGAACCCATGAGGCCAACCAGGAAGCCAGTCATAGGTACATCTGGGTTGAGGGTCACAGCACTATACCAAGGACTTTGGGCTGGGCTTTTCTCAAGGATATGACACAAGGAGCCCATTGAAAGGGATCTTAGAGATGCAATTGCTCATTCTTCCTCTGTTTACTAATGAATGTGATCATGGGTGCTATTAAGTGGTGGAACCAGCATATCACAACTAGACACCCTATCTCAAGGATACCTTTATAGTCTTAAGATTACTTTAATGCATTTGGCCCTTTCTAGTAAGGTTTAGTTTAAGCAGGGCTTTCAAGAGCTGAGAAACTTATTGGCAGAGGTCATAATTGCCTTAATAGACAACATTTTTTAACTACCCACTAAATGCCAGGTACTATGCAAGGTACCTTGAAATCATTGTCTCTAACTCTCACTGCATCTCTAAAAAGAAAGACACTGTTACAAATGTCTCCATTTTACAGATGAGGAAATTGATGGTGCTCAGTGAGGTTATAAGTCGTCTAGGATCATATGGTGGTAAATTTGAACTGGAATCCTAGGCCACATGATTGATGCCTAAGGAAGTTTCTCCAACTAATAAATGACTCTATTAAGAAAAAAAATATGGACACAAATATTTGTTCAATTCAAGTGGCCCTAATTAATTTTAACCCCAAAGAGGGAGTCTGCATGTTCCTAGCTTGGGATAAAGAACCAGTTCTGGAAAACTGCATGACAAATAGGGGTCGGCCCCCCTGTTGGTGAAGGTGCTCAAAAAGAGAAATACTCAGGGCCCAAGCAGGCACACTCTTGTAGAACAAGGGACCTGGGATCTGACTTAATTAATCCCCTTCTTCCTGCCAACACTTCCCTTGCCCTCCTGTCTGCTCAAAAGAAGTCTTTTTCTCTCTAGGGATTAAGAGACCTTTTCAGTTGCAGCTCATTCAGAATAAAGTTCCTTCAAAGGAGTGGCCAACTTCTTTTTTTTTTTTTGTTTTTCCTTTGAGCCTGACATGTGGAGCCAGCTGTTGAATCAGGAAACTCTGCCAACAGATACCCAGACCTCATCTGGTGTCTGCTTAAATGTTTTTCTTTTTTTTTCTCTTTAATACTTGTAGGATTTTTTCCCTTTTAATTATAATTATACTTCAAAGGGAACCTGGAACTTGCAGAGCCAAAGATCAAAGCCTCAAGAGAGGCTGCCTTCTCCCTAACAGCCTCTCAGGGGGGCTCTGAACAGGGGGAAGGGCAGTGCAAGGGCAGGGCAGTGCCACCAGCCTGAGTAGCCTCAGCCCTCCCTCATCCCACCCTGTGCTCATCTGCCTTTGCCCATGATGCCAGCTACTGGACATGCTACTCGGCCAACTGGTCCCTTCAATGTGGTCAGAATAGAACATTACCTGGGGTCAGCAATCAGGGAGGACCAGCATGGTCCCACCCTAAAATATACCTTGACACAGTAAAACCTTTTACATGCCTGAAATTACACTGTTTGAATTGCCTTTGTGTTAAGCATTGCCCATGCAGTACACTCCATTTGCAAGATAAAAATGCTACTAGGGTGAAGGATACCTCATGTCACTCCCACCCTAGGATAAGTTAGTCTAAAAGTTGCTCTTCATATGTCAGAGCAGCATAGGGATATTTGGCACCTGGGTAAAGTAATGAGTGGGGAAGAGTTAATATTTAGACATCACTAGAAAATGAAAGAAAACCCAGGTGTGTATAATGCTAAATATCTCTCTAATTTGCCACACTGCCATTGTAGTTTTCTTACCCAATATCTGATGTGACTCTAATTTGGCCCATGTATTTGGGGCCAGACCAACCTAATCACAGTCACCAACAGGTTAAGGATTCTACCCATCCATCCATCCAGTCATCCATCCATCTGCTCATCTATCGTTTCCTCTGTGTGTCCATCCATCCTCCCCTTCATTAAGGGTTTACACAGTGCCTGTTGCACATTAAGCTGAATGCTCAAGGTTGAGGATCCACTGGAGGACAAAGTGGAGTCTTAGTCCTGAACAAGTGCAGGGTTTGTGAAACTCTAGAGGAAGAGAGCCCCACAAAAATATCTCCTTCCATATTCCCAAATTTTGCCATGGAGACCAGTGCACTGGTGCCCAGATGTCCAGTTCTGATGGGTTTCTAAGGTATTGGTGGATGATAAATGTTCAGTCTTCTTTTATTTGATTCAGATGGCTTTATATACTTTGGAAGGTTGGATTTCTCTTTGTAAAATCAGTAAAGCAATTCAAGATCCTCAGTAATGGGGATCATTTAAATATTCAACCATCACATTTCTCTGTTTATAGAGCATCAAAGTGCACAGCACATTATAAAACTTCTAATTAATCCTCATAGTGCTTTGGTATCATGAGCAAAGGGTGGGTAATAACCCTATTTCACCGATGAGACCAAGGAACCAACAGCTACTGTAATTCAGCAACTAGCCTGAGGTCATGTGGCAAATCACCTGTGTTTTATACCTTCATTAACAGTACAATTTATTAATTATAACAATTACATTAACAACTAGCATTCATTGAGAGCTCTCATAAACCAGCTCTGTCCTGAGAACTTTACACACATTAGCATATTGAATGTCTGTCCATCACAACCCTATGAAGTAGGCTCTGTGATTATCTCCATGGAAGATCCAGAGATCCTGTGCTAGTGAGCTTCCTCCTTCTGCCACCCTTGTTCCATCTGGGTTCCCACCTTATTGGATGGTGCCACTCAAATCCAGGTAGGGCTCCCCACCACTTTGCTGTCCCACATTCCTGCAGATACACAACCCAAAGTGTGCTGTGCTAATTTCCTAGACATTTCCCAATCCAGTCAAGTTGACGGTCAAGATTAAGCATCATGACAAGGTTAGGCCAATGGGGTACCCTTGAATCTCAGCTTCATGCAAGACCTTAACCCAGTCTCAAAACCATGACAGATTTAGACATTCACCCAGAAGGGCCCCTTTGAGTCAAAAATCCTTTCTGCCACTTCCCCAAAGACACATCTGAGACTGTTTTAAAGAAATCTTGGCAGTTCCACCTAAAAGCTTATGTTCTACAAATAAGAAAGTTCCCTCACCTGCCTTTAGGGCATCTGGCTCACCTCCCTCTACTTTACATGGTGAACCAGCTTCAACCAGATTTTCCCAGGAAGGCGTGAAAATGAACATTTGATACCATCAAAGACACCCTGCTCTGACCTCTTTGAAGGGCTCTCCCTGGTTCAAGGGCTTTCATATCTGAAAATGATAAGAGAGCTGCTGCAGGCTGCAGTCTTGTCCTGTACCCAATCACCACCAGCACCCTTCCCAGGAGCTCTGTTTGCTAACTATAAGAAGGTGTTTTGCTTTTTCAAACAAGCTCGAACCCCAATTAGTTTCTCAGCAACTTGATGCTCATTGGCGGAGACTGTGGTTTCTCATCTAGTGTTGTTATTGATTCGGTCAGAAGTAATTAAGGAGATAATTCTTACTCAATTACATTTCCCTGAATTTCCTGAGGTTGCTAACTCTGCTCTCCGGCTGTATTTTCTTTTCCAAATTAATTTTGCCTTGACTCTGAAATGAGGATGGATATTACAGGGGCTTGTTGTGCTTGTTGATTTTCACAGGAACAAAGTGGGGCTCTGTATTTTAATTGCAACTGGAGCTCTCAAACTCCTTTTATTTTTAGGAAATTAATGTAAAACACACACAGCCTCTTAAAAAACAAAGCAAATAGCATGGAAAATCTTCTACTAAGGAACAGGAATGCCTCTTCCTTGCTCTCTTCTTCCGGATGCCATCAGTGAGGACAGCCAAATCTAACCCACTTTTTGCGATATCCTCCAATGATCCATGTCCCTAAATTATTCAAGTTTTACCAGCAGTTCTCAGTTTATTCATTTGAGAGTTTAACAGCTTTTTTGCTATGAAAGATGAAAATCAAGCCCCTTGGCATTTCTGCATCACCTCCTGCCCTCTCAAAAGTAGTTCCCCTGCTACTTAGTTCTGTAGCTTTCAAAAATATGTTACACTTGTACTTCTTGCCCCATTCACCACAAAGAGCCTCTCTGGCTCCTTACTTTATAGAAGAGCTGGGCCCCTTCTTTGCTCTCCTTGTACCTTTTACTGCTACTATTACGTTGCTAGGACTGATAGCATTCACATTCTGCTTCCTTCATTCAGTTTTCCAGGTTTTTGCTTCCAAATCAAGTCAACTTAGAAATCAACAAATGGTATAGTTTTGTTTGCATCCATCCATCCATCCACTCACTCCAAATATATGTGCCAAGAAACCACTCTTTGTTTGGCATTGTGCCCTAGACCAAAGATGTACGGTGACAAGGTCAAACTCTTTGTGCTCACTGCAAGGCTAGATCCCTAGAAAGGGAGAGAGGCAAAACATAATTTTCAGATGATGAGAACAGCCACTTAAAATGCTGATTTTGAATGTTGTGTTTAAAATATTAATACAAAATACAATAAAGCTGAATATTGCAAAAAAGCATTTAAATTACAACTGCTTGGTTTTCTTCATGCTTCATGAATATAAGCAGAATCTTGAAACCCAAACCTCAGCCCATTTGCCATCACCCTGGACCCACAGGCTAAATCTGGAGATCCAGCCGATGCTACCTGTTAAGGGTATGTTCTGCATCCAGGTGAGAGGTATCACAGTGGCAGCTTCATCCCATGTTTGTGAGGCTCCTTCATCAGCAGTGAGTCTTTGCAACATTCAACGTCCAGAGCACACTGGCTACAAATATATTTTGAGGACAGCTGTGCTGAGAGCAAACACCTGCTCATCCTGAGAGGTGTGCAGAGCACTGAGAGACCTC